GAATTGAATACAAGATTATAAATAAACAATTTTTATGCTTCTAAATAAATAGAATCTTGTGCTTTTGTTCGTTTAAACTCAATTTTTTATTTGCCAATAGCTTGTTTTGTTATAGCGCAATAGCTTCCCAAAGTGACCCATGCTTTTTGACTTTAAAGACCGAATTATTTATGAAAAACAATTTTATTAAGATCATTTTAGCAGATCACATTGAGAACTCTCAGAAAATACATGGTTTCTTGGAGGCGGAAGAAATTAAAAGCAAAAAACAATTTTATAAGTTATTTATGACTATTTTATATTAGTATTAAAATTTTTTTTTATTAGATCATTATACTAATTTTATTGAATTATCTAACTTAGATAGAATACATTGAAGAAGCAATAATTCAATGTAATTTTATTTTGTTTTCTCTTTACATTAATCCCTAACTTTAGTAGATGACCATGAATTATTTATTTTAAATAGATTTTCAAATAATCTTTTTGCTACTTCCTTTGGTAAGTCTGTAGGATGATTAAACACTTTTTGAATAATTTCAAGTTCCTCATTTGTTTTTTGTATCTCATATTTTAGTGAAGAAGTTTCAACCTCATCAATTGGTGCAATTGTTATGTCTGCAACCAGAGTGGGTAAATTGTCTTCAACTATAAATGAGATCAACTTTCCTGTCCTTTTTTCCGTGTAGGCAAAGCTATGTGTATCGTTCCGCAGTTTTGAAATTCATCATGTTTGATTATTTTATAAAGTTATCTATAAAATCCCAAATGATCTAATTATTTGTCTGCTCATCCTGTTTTGTTTGTGTTGCTTATAATTAAATAGCTATATCGTTGAATAATAGAGAAATACTCATTTCATGTTAGAAAATATATATAATAAATTTCAGCATTAAAATAAATTATTAATTAATATTAACAAACTATATAATAATAAAAACTCTCCAATTATTAATGATTTCATTCATAAAATAGTAAATGGAAACAAATTTTGGTTTATCGCCTAATTGAACAAACATGTTCAGTTACCTTTCTCCAGTTGAAGGATTGTTTCTTGTATATAGTGATCGCACATGGCCCTGTAATACTACTAGTAAATGGCATTTTTGTCTTCTAAGTAAAGCATGTCAGGAGTATGATTTTTTTTTTTGATTCTTTTGCACAGTGAACGTTGGTATTATTTTTAAAGGCTTTTTGCAATGATTTTTTGTTAAAAATCCTTTAATTCATGCTCCGTGAGACAACTGCAAAATTTTGCCGATCGTTAGTATAATTTTGTGGCGATAATAAACAATATTAATATAATTTTTAGAATTTTTGGAATATGACCGTCCCTCACGTGATTAAGCATGATTACGCGCGACATAAAAAAAAAAAATTTAAACTTTTCAAAGTAACTAAACATCTATTTATATTTTTTTTTTTTTGAATAAAACTAATTACAAACGCTTATTTATATTTTTTTTCTTGAATAAATAATTAAATATTATACTTGAATCTTAAGTTTTATATAGCAATTTTAGGCAAGAATCCAGCGGTCCCTCCATATAAAGATAAAATATTTTATAAGAAAGTCCCTTTGAAAATTTGTATATTAAAACTTTGGGTTTCTTATTATTTATTACATTTGCAAATACAATTTATAAATTCGTGTAAATAGTAGTTTTTTAGGAATGAAGTATGGGTTCCGGAAAATTTCAATTGCAGTTGTTTCACGTATCATGAATTAAATTTGTTGTTTGCCTATATTTGTAAATAAACAGTGGTATGAGAAATATAGAATGCTCACTTGCATATCCTTGATTACAAAACTTGTTTTTATTTAAAACTAGAATATTTATTGGATTAAATTTTTAATGCTAGCATTTTTATTAAATAGAAAAATGACCTTTCTACAAACTAAAAAAGGCTAACATCATTTAATATATAATATATATAAGTTAAAAGAAAAAAAAAGTTTGCTTTTTAGAAATGATTTTTGATTAAAATCTCATTAATGCCCAAAGGATTTATTATATTTATTAAAAATATATTCATTATTATTTTTTTAAAAAGAATATGTCAATCTGAGAAGATCTCGTTTTTTTATTCACATTCTTAAATTATTTGAAATATAGTTTAGAACTGTTAATGCTTTTAATGCCCATTCTACAATTTAATATTAAAGCAAAATCTTTATTAATTTTAAATAAACATTATAAACATGGATATTTATTTATTTATTAACTTTTAATGAATGCTTCTTTTTTACATCAATAAAATCCATTGTCAAACTTTATAGTATATATACAGAGTATATTCATTTTTATTTCTTTACATTGGTAAATGCACCAAAGATGATATTTGTAGGCAATGATTTGGTTTGTTACTCAAGATAAAACCTGGCTCAAATATTTGAATAGCTCCAAGTAAGCTATGATTATGAAAAGTAATTTGACATCTCTATTGGAAAAGTTTGAGTGACTGGGCGTGTTGATATCTGGATGCATGAAATGGCAGCCTTATAGGTTGTTGAGTCTGGGATTCTGCTACAAACATTCTAACGTTATGTCAAAGCAGTTGCCCTAGAGGTTATTGTTTATTTTTACTATTATCAGGGACACAACACCATTCCTTGCAGTTATTACTGAACAATTTAGTGGCATAATGCAAAGATGCTTCTTTACTGATGTGGTCCTAGATCTTTAGACACAGACATAACATGCTTGGAACCTGTAATTATGTGACTTGGCACAATTATAGCAAATCTTGCACCAATCATAATCATAAATGAAAATCAAAAGAGAGGACAAAGCATTTAACATTTTTTAGTATCAGCACTTCTTACTATTACAATTGATGGTTGTCACAAAAATTTAAAATTTAAATTATTGATTGCATATCAACTCCATGATTTCAATTTTGTTTTTTTTTTTAATGAATTCAATAGAAATGGACATTGAGTAGTCCCCTGTATATTTACTTACCCTAGATAAAACTAATTTCTTTACAAGAAAAAGTAAGTTAACATACTATTACTATCATCAATCATCAACTCCTCTTTATTATTAATATAAATTACAAATAATTAAAAGTCCAAAAGATCAATTAATTCTGTTACACATATTAATATGGGAACTTTTTGCAAAAGAAGCGATTTTGAGTGCTATATATAATTCCTTATGTAGAACATTTTTGGTTTAGAAATTGTACCCACCTTGCATAGTAAAATAAACCCTTAAAGTGCGGATTTGTTTTTTTAATTTTCTCAACATCATTTTCACAACAAGGTCTACCATGATGAAATTTCAGCTCTAAACCAAATAAATAATTCTTAAAAATGTTAGCAATTTATTAAAATATGCATATAAAAAAAGCTCATGTTGTCTTACTCTAAAAAACTTTGGGAGATAATAAATCATTTTATTGTGTAACAAATAAAAAATTAAAATTTTTTCTTACAATGACTTTACCACTTGAGCTTTTGATTTAAGTATTTAAATACAATGATGATGATTATAAAACATTACAATGGCACAATATTAATATTCCAAATTTATGGAAAAATCCATTTTATTCTAAAAATAGTACCAAAATAATAATCAATTGTTTATTGGAAGAAGATAAGGATTTCTTAACAAGAAATGGCATTGAATTGACTTTTGAACTATTGGATAAATCACCATTATATAATTATGCTAGATTTTGTGCTAGATTTTATTTCAGTCATTATCATTTTCAATTGCTGGCAAAATCCAAATTAGATATTTTAGAAAATAGATTAGTAAATTTTATTTTAGATCATTCAGCAGTTATTAGGGAGTTTGATACTTTCTATATGGTTTCTTACCCAGTAAATAATCATCATAAATTTGATAATAATTTTCAGAATCTTAATAAATTAGTTTGTAATTGTAATATTAATTATGAACTTATTGATAAATTAGCAAATATTTGCAAATGTATTCAATCATTGCAAATATGTAATCTTAGATTTAACAATAAACTTGAAGATAGTCTGGCTCAATTAATTAAAGCGCAAAATCAAATAAAGGAATTAACCATACATTTAAACACTAACTACCATCAACCTTTATCAGATAATTTCAGAAAAGCAATTCTCATACATTCACAAACAATAATTTTTTATTCAAGTAATGGATCATATATGGATCATATATTATTGCCAACATTTATCAATTTGAAAGCTTTATCATTATGTGGTATTAAGGAACAAACAAAATGGATGAAAAGTATTTCACTGCCAAATATTGAATTTGTGACATTATTAATTGTTAGGCAACAATTTATATCAGACTTGTCTAGTTTTATTAACATCAATGGGAAAACTCTTAAATATTTGGATGTTCATGGTTTTCCAAATGACAATGAATTTTTGGGAAAGCTATTTCAATCAATTGCACAATGTTGTAAAAATTTAGTGAACTTGGCAATACTTTATAATGATGAAGTAAACAAGGAGTTAACAGAAGTATTCAACAATTGTATTAAATTAAAAAGGATTGTACTTAAAAATGGTTATACATGTACATTAAATGGTGATAAAATACTTTCAGTACTAAATCAAACATTACCAAAAAAATTAAAATCAATAATGCTTCCTTGTAAGTTTTCTACTATTAATGTCAATTCTTTTAATAATCTAACAAAGAATTGGAGAGGACCTAAACCTTTTACAATGAAATTTGATGATTGTCAAAAATTAGTGGATTGATCAGGGTTTAGGATTTTTAAACTAAATTATATAAATTTTTATATTTATTATTTTTGGTGGATTTTAATTAATTGGGAAAACAATGCAATGAATAAAAAAAATTTTTTTTTCTTTACAATAATTATAAAACATTATACTCTTGCATTTTTGTCAATAAACAATGGCACAATATTAATATTTTAATTTTATGGAAAAGTCCTTTCTATTTTAAAATCAGCACCAAAATAGTAATTACTGTTTATTGGAAGAAGATAAGGATTTCTTAACAAGAAGTAGCATTAAATTGACTTTTGAGCTATTGGATAAATCATCATTTATATAATTATGCTCGATTTTGTACCAGGTTTTATTTCAATCATTATTATTATAGTAGTACCTCCTTCATCTTAAGAAAAAATGGTATCCTCTGATTAAAAATTTGGTACCCTATGGAAAAATTTGTGTTGAGAAGTATAATGCAAATAAAATCTGTTGTAATTTATAATTTTTTTATCTATTCATGAAATAACATAATAAAAGATTTTCTTTTTTCTTTTTTTTTCTATAGTTAACAATGTTAAAAAATCATTTGGAGCTTGTATATCTTTTTAAATTTTGTGCCTTTATTTTCGTGTTTATTTTGATTTTTATTTACTTAAGACAAATATTAATAAGAATTGGTTTTTATTAAATTTCTAATTTAATAAGATATGTATTAGGAAAATAAAACATTCTAGGATATTTAAAAAATATGATTTTTTATTATAGTATACATTCTTTAAATTTATTTTGAAATGTAATATCTATAATTATTATATTTAAAGAAAAATGAACAAATGAAGCATAATCTAAGATATGCGAAAAGTACAAAGCAATTTAATTTTTGTTGTATATCAGAGAATTATTTGAAATCTGGATTGGGGATTATATAAGCATAAGTACCAAAAAAATACTTCCCTTCAACAGATCATTTAACAATTTAGGATGATCAACATCCAATTGGATATTGAAATAAAGCGTTTTTATTTTTAAAATGTCAAGTGTTGCACCCACAGGGTGAGCATCAGTTATATATAAGGTTTAATTAGATTGGTTAATTGAACGTTATTATATGGTGAAATAAGTCTAAACTTTTTTTATTATATACACAGACTTCAACATGTGAAAAGAATTACATTCAATACAATGTATTCAGTTTGATTAGGGCACGTATTTGATCACCAAGTTCACCAGACACAGCACAAAACATCCAGATGTATAAAATAATTAAAAATTATTATTATTATTTCTCCAGCAAGGCTTGTTCAGAAATCATCCTTTGATCTCTATCTACCTGACACAATCTAAGAATAAAATCCACAACAGTTTCAATTTCATCAATATCACTTCTAATTGATTTAAATGTAGAAAA